GGGGGGGGGGGGGGGGGGGCGGGGGTACAACAGTTGACACCCCAATTCTACTTTTTTCCTGTCCTAAAATTAGTTGACATATACCCTGTATGTAAGTTATTCTTAAACTGTAACAATGATATAAAATGCCTTTTCTGGAATTATATACGTTCTGGCCATGTACAATGTATATATAGAATGTAAGTTGTCTGATTGTAAAATGTAGGCGAGAACCAAGGTTTTAAGCCATTAGCATTATTGGTTTTGTTTGAAGCTAAGATCCAACATAACTGATTTTGGATTCTGGTTTATCAGTGTCCAGCAAAATATTAAAATATTAAAAAGAAAATGGAAGTCGATCTACCGGTACATTTATTATCACATAGCCAAAATAACAAATAAATAACTGGTGACAACCTTTACGTTGTTTGTCATATTTTATTTAGGTATACACCATACATGAGAAGTAGTTGCCAAAATGCTCTAACAAAAGTGGCCGCCGTTTCACTACGGGCAGTCCTCCCTGCTTTCCACGCACTGGCTGCTGGTCTCCGTGACCCTGACCTTGCCCCGTGGGCATGCGCAGCCGCGGACACACTCCTCCATACAGAAGTCTGCTTTCTTTTTCCCACATACCAGTGGACACGGTGTCCCACAGGACGTCCACTGCAAATCTCCCAGACACTGCTCAGGTTCACTGGACTGTGCCGATTGCCCCACTAGTTATAAATGAAATGTAAAGGAAAATGTACAGTACTAACCAGGTCTCATAAGTCTACCAATTTATTCAGTACTAACCAGGTCTCATAAGTCTACCAATTTATTCAGTACTAACCAGGTCTCATATGTCTGCCAATTTATTCAGTACTAACCAGGTCTCATACGTCTGCCAATTTATTCAGTACTAACCAGGTCTCATAAGTCCGCCAATTTATTCAGTACTAACCAGGTCTCATAAGTCTGCCAATTTATACATAGAAGTCAATGCAATCCGCCATGTTTTTTTTTTACCGCTTTACCCCATTTGCCGGTGCCCGGATGACCGACTGTCCCTTTTGATTGGTACTGGTATCATTGAATATAAGAGACTCACTTTCAAGATGATTAACAGAAATCTAACAAAACACTGGAAGATAAACGACCCTTAAATAGTTGTCGATGAATAAAAATGATCTAATCTATGACCCATTCAGAATAGGGACTAACTAGTCCCAGGGTCAAATATGGCCGACCAACTGAATACTTCTCCACGGGATATCTATTCGGTGTCTATTAGCGGATTAGACGACAAGCTTTGCATTGGGTCGCCATATTTGACCCTCTGACTAGTTAGTCCCCTATTCTGAATGGGTCTTTAATCCATATTAACGCAAGACTCAGGTCAATCCAATGTCACTTACCTCCGCTGTTTATACTGACTACAAGTAAAACAAGAACGACAGCCACGTTCTTCATCTTATACACGGTAGGTGCTGAGCTGAAAATATACTAGTAGCTGTTGACTTATTTATACATGTAAGATCTTAGCTGAAAATAAAAATAATGATTTACTTTTGACAACGTATTGACTGATATATTCAGAAGTGAAGTAATTTTCTCTGTGCATAATTGCTGCAAATTGGCTTTTTTTCATTGAAATGTTGATTTATTTAGGTCATTTTTGTCACGCTTCATTCATATAGCTTTGAATATGCGGGTTGGTAGTTAGCTTGTATCATAACGACAGAAAAGACAACGTGCCAAGGACATCCACGTGTTTAAAGTACCAGTGCTGCTGGTATTTAATGTATTAGTTTTGGATGATATCCAAATGTTTTAACTCAAAGCTTAGTGGATTATCCGAAATAGTGATAACATGATATCTAAATCTCTCTCTCTCTCTCTCTCTCTCTGTGTGTGTGTGTGTGTGTGTGTGTGTGTGTGTGTGTGTGCATGTGTGTGTGTACGTTGGTGTCAATCAGTGCGCCTACATACATGCTTAATACATACAGCGACTTAACACAAATAGATGATTTCAATATTACTGACACTCACCAAACAGACGGCGAAACCTGGTGACGGCCCTTGTCAGTCTAATATAAAAGGACCAGAAACAGTCATGAACTGATCAGCCAGGTGAGACCACTGTGTATACCTGAAGGAGGACAGGTAGGCCTATATGGCGCTGTATCACGTGACGAATTAAACGTAATCAATAGGAAAAGCATTTGCTTGCCTGCTTGCTCGAAAGCATCACTATTTGCGTCCGTACACAAAAATTACGTTCGGGGAGTCTACCTCCTTACTTTCTGGAAGCTTCCGTAATCCAAAAGCAATATTTACGCTGAGGGAAATAAAACTATAGCCTTGAGATCGTCTCGTCTGGCGACTCTTTTTTCTTTGGAGGGATGACTATGGATCTATCGTCTGCATAATGGGGCAACTGCCTAATATGGGTCACGTGGTTTGTATAATGGCTGAATACTGAACGTTGTGTTTTGTATATAATTACGTTTACATGATGTGGTGCCGTCAGACTGATTACAACATGTTCAAGAGACAATAAAAAAGAGTAAGCTTGTGAAACAAGAATCCACAATTCTAAACAGAATAATCGAAATAAAATACTGCCGGGCATCGGAGCGGCCTAAAACCTTGCACGCTTACCGCAAATACTGCAGGCTACATCATCCCGTCGCTCGTTTGTAAATTCCGTGCATGGCATACGCACAATCAAACCGTACATCCAAATTGCACCTCTGATGTTTTTGTCGGTCCTGTCTAACCTACCATTACGAAAAAGAAGCCATGCCATTGGACAATGCGACCTCTGCGGTTACGTCACTTCCTGATTTAGATAGTGGAGAGGACGATCCAGTTAGAATCGGATTAACAGACTAACGCCTCCTGTTTCCGCCATACTCGTATTATCACCAGATATCCTGTATTCTGTCTATGTAATGCCAGGAAGAGACGCGTTAATATTTTAATCTGATTGCATTCAGCAGGAGTCCCCGAGAAGTAGGATCGATCTATGTAGAATGATAATTTCATTGGAAATGAGCACTTATACAAGACCACAGAGGGAGTGCGAACTGGCCGCCACAGAAGACGACAGCTGTACGCACAACGTCTGATCAGTGAAGGATGGAGGAAGATTTACGCAAAACTTTCTACAAGATTCCAAAAAAGTAGAATGGGCCTCATTTTCATGAACATTATTCAATAGTAGACAAAATGAAATTCATATGAAAAGACATGAAAATTATTTTTACATACTTTTATTCCATTTATACATAACCATCAACTTGAAATATAAATTTCTGTTGTACAAAATATATGACAAGTTAAAAAAGTAACGAAAACAATATACAGCACATAAGTTAATAGATAACTCCAAAAACACAAAAACGCACACAATGCAAAAAGAAAACATGAAAAAATGTTCTGCAATAAATTATGAAGGGCAATAAATAAATTATGAAAGAAAATGAATATAGGAAGCAATGGACTGTACGTATACTTTGACAGATCTAAAGAGCAAATGTCAGTGGATAATTTCTGTCACCGCATACGGAACTCCGGTATTATCATTACCGACCCCAGATTAATGGCTGGACTTTGCGCTTAGTCGCAAAACTTGGAATGTTCTTAGACGGTTCCCATTTTGTTTTGTTTTTTAATTTAAACTTGGTAACTAAACTTTGAGCTATTATGGGTGATACTAATTTTGTTTTGTTTTTAGTTTTAAACTGGCTAACTAAGCTTGGAGCTAACTTGGGTATTGTCAGTTGTGTTTCGTTTTTAGATATAAACTCGCCACTAGATGGCAGTTGCAGTCTGGCGGCTAAAGAACAAGTGCCCCGTGACATGAGATAGTTCGTCCTTGACCTTGGTATCCTGTCCCACTGACCGCCATACTCACACATTTTCCCGAGCCGCAACTCACCACGCACATATTTCCCTGAAAAATATGATAAATACTGAAATCCATATTGTTATGTAACACAGAGTTATGTCGAAACGTCACGTGTAATAATGGAAAACACGTTTAGTCTCTATAGAAAATGTTAACTTTTATCATCTTTATACTTCAGACAATGGAAAAAGTAAACTTTTTTTACCATTAAAGATAAAATTTCTTAGCCAATTCATGCCAGAGGCAAATACAATCAAACAGACATAATGCATGACATTTAGCAAAATGTGCTCAGTAACGCTGCATTTTTTTTAACTTTATATAATCAAGTATTGACAGTCAATTTAAGCCAACATATAGATGTTAAAATGCCTATATGACTGATATTAAAGGTCCACATTTCCCTACCTTTAAGTAAATATTCTTCTCCCGTAATTAAATAAGTATCACAGACGAAAGAGGATCTGTTTGCCGTCACGTAATTGACACCTTTCTTAAGACTTCCAGACACATCCTAAAATTAATATCAATAAATGTTTATTTTTCGAACGAGTTATTATAGTTTATGTGGAAGAGGAGAGAGGACAAAGAAAAAGAAAAAGTATTTCACTGGATATTTACCATTCCCAGTTTATCACTAATTAACACGAATATCTTATACAAAACCGCAAAAATAACTTTCTACAGACCCATTTTCGAGCTATTGAAGTTATTTCTATATCTTTCAGTTTACGAATAAAAGTAACCAGCCTCCACATGACAACAAAGACTTACTTAAATTCCACGTTCCATATCAGGGCCGTAGCCTGAGAGAAATGCCGGGGGGAGGGGGGGGCAGTAAGCAGACACGAGGGAGCGAAGCCCCCGAGGGGGCGAGGGTGTTCCCCTCCCACGGTGTGGAAAATTTTTAAAAAAGTGTACGTATAATACTGCATTCTGGTGCATTTTAACTGTTATTTATTGCTCAATCAGAAGTCAGAAATTGTGGGATAGCTCCCGAGGGGAGGGTGAGCTTTTTGGCATGAACTGAGTTGGCTAAAAACAGTACACCTTTGTAAACAGATTGTTGAATGATTGTCTAGTGGNTTTTTTTTTTTTTTTGCCCCCCAAACCCCGGGGGGGGGGGGGGGAGCGTCCCCCCCCTTTCCCCCCCCCCCCCCCCCCGGAGGCTACGGCCCTGCATATGTACAAAGTTTTATGCCAAAGACTTACTTTGAATATATGTTGTATATGTACAGGGTATTTAACGGCAGGTCGGTACGAAACCGAGGGCTGGATGACGTCACGGCTCTCAGCGGATTTCATCACATTTGCCTTGATCACTGAAATAACACAGAGAAGTAAACATTAAGATAGGGGGCTTCATAATGTCTTTATCTTTTAAAAGTAACTTTTAAGAACTGACCAATCAAACGTCGTATACCATATCTCAGACGGCTGCAGTCGTGCAGAGAAAATCTGCCTTCATCTTCAACTTTCAGACACCGTTCCCCCAAAACAGAAGTAAAAATAAAATATATTTTCTAAAGGCAACACTATTTGACAACGGAAAATAATTCAAATACTAGAGTGTGACTCGCCAAAAATTACAATTGGCTTTGAACAAAAAAACAAGTCCATTGACGATAAAAATATATTTATCGTTGTCGATGCTTTACGGACTAAGGGCTAGGTTTAGACAGCCAAGTCAAAGTTTCCAATACAGAGTCAAGTTAACCGTACATCTGCGAGCTGAATTTTCAATTTTTGGCCTTTTTCATATTAAGTGTATACTCACCAAAATGGTTGTCTCCAAGGCAGTCAAAAGACTCTCTTGTGTCTGGTCGTCTACAAACACATCCGTGTTTTAGCTTTTGGAACCTGGAAACATTTGATCCAAAGGTAAGAGGCAGACAGACAGACAAACAGACAGACAGACGGGCTGTCCTTACATCTTACTTATCAGTTTTCTATGTGGCGCAGGTTTGACATTTTAGATATTTGGACCAACTTGTACGATACAAAGTGAAATACTCTATGTGAAATGGGCCAAAGATAGATAGATAGCTGTGCTACAATTGGATGAGATTCAAGGGTGTGACCAACTTCACAAATGGACTAAAATTGCAAACGGGTGATGGCAAAAACAGAATAAGGTGCCTTTCGAAGGATGTACGCACCTGATATCTCCCGACGTTTTCTTAGGAGCCATGTTGGATGATACCAGTTTTGTTTCGTTTTTAGATTTAAACTCGCCAAGTAAACTTGGAACTTTCTTGGGTGGTTCCAAATTTCTTTCGTTTTTAGATTTCAACTCGCTTGCTGAGCTTGGTGCTTTCTTGGGTGAGACCAATTTTGTTTCTTTTTTAGATTTCAACTCGCTTGCTGAACTTGAAACTTTCTTGGCTGAGTCCAATTTTGTTTCTTTTTTAGATTTAAACTCGCCACCAGATTGCAGCTGCCGTCTGTCGGCTAAGGAACAGGTGCTCCGTGACATGAGATAGTTCGTCCTTGACCTTGGTATCCTGTCCCACTGACCGCCATACTCACACATGTTCCCGAGCCGCAACTCACCACGCACAAATTTCCCTGAAAAATAATAAATATTGAAGCTGATATTGTTACATAACACACAGTCAGTTATGCCGAAATGTCAATTACTGGAAAAGACGAGTAGCTTCCATAGGAAGGATTATTTCTTATCGTCTTTACACTTCGGACAATGGAAAAAAGTAAACTTTTTCACCACTAAAGATAAAATTTCTTAGCCAATTTATGCCAAAGGCAAGGACAATCAAACAGACATTATGCATGACAAAATGTGCTCAGTAAATTTATAGATGTTTAAAATACGTATGTGACTGGTTTTATACGTTCACACTTTCTTACCTTTTAGTAAATATTCTTCTCCAGTAATCAAATAAGTATCACAGACGAAAGAGGATCTGTTTGCCGTCACGTAATTGTCACCTGTCTTAAGACTGCCAGACACATCCTAAAATTAAGGGCAATAAAGTTTATTTTTCGCACCAGTTGTTATGGTTAATGTGTAAAATGACAAAAAGCAGAGAAAAATGAAAATATTTCACTGGATATTCAACATTCTTAATTTATCACTAATTAACATGAATACCCTATCCAAAACCGCCAAAAATAACAATCAAGAGACCCGGTCACTTCTATATTTTACGGTTTGCAAGTTAAAAGTTACCAGCTTCCACATTATAACCAAGACATACATGCACTGGAAATACATGTTCAATTTACACCGCATTTGATGAAAAAAAGACTTACTTTAAATATATGTTCTATATGTACAGGGTATATAGCGGCAGGTCGGTACGAAACCGAGGGCTGGATAACGTCACGGCTCTCAGCGGATTTCATCACCTTTGCCTTGATCACTGAAATAGCAGAGAAGTAAACATCATGGAAGGTGGCATCATCCTTTCAATATTTGTAAGAGTATCCAGGGGATAAAACTTCCAGATATTGTTTTTTTTTACAAATAAAGCCCTTTTCATCTCCGTTGATTAATTTTTTCCTAAAGCGTTGTTAAACATACTAGACTAGCAAGAAATGCATAAGTATTCGTGAAAACAAGAAAACCCTAGTGTCTTATGCATGGACGGCCAAGTCAAAGATTCTAATACCGATCGAATAAAATAAATAGTTCAATTGTCAACTGAATTTTCCGTTTTTGATCTTACAATATACTCACCAAAATGGCTGTCTCCAAGGCAGTCGAATGACTCTTTTGTGTCTGGTCGTCTACAAACACATCCATGTTTCAGCTTCTGGAACCTGGAAACAAGTGATTCAAAGGTAAGAGACAGTCAGATAGACAGACAGACAGAGAGACAGATGGACTATCTTCATTACCGGACATCACTTTTCTGTGTCACGCCGGCTGACATCTTGGCGGCCATTCAGAATAGAAGATCCGAGTATCAGCGTACGCTACGCGAAAGGAAGACCGCTTAATCCTGTAATGGTCTCTCCACCTCTCACACGTCTCCCCACGCGTCTGGTCGAATGAAGCCGAGAGTTAATAACATTGCCTCAGCGCTTGGGGAGGCGTGTGACAGGCAGAGAGGCCATTACAAAATTAAGCGGTCTTCTTTTCATGTAGGGTCCACCATATTTGAGCCTTGGACCAGTTAATACTCGGGCCTATTTTGAATGGCCCCGCAGATATTAAGACCAACTTTTACGATAAAAAAGTGAACTACTCTATGTGAAATGGGCCAGTGATTGATAGATAGTTGTGCCACAATTAGTTGAGAATCAAGGTTGTGATCAACTTCACAAATCGACTAAAATTGGAAACCGGTCTTAGCAAACACTTATAGCTGAATAAGTTGCGTTTCACAAAAGCTCAAAGGATATACGTACCCTTTCTCTCCTAACGTCTTATTAGGAGCCATCTTGGATGATGTCACTTTTGTTTCATTTTTAGATACAAATCCGCTAACTAAACTTGGAGCTTTCTTAGCTGGTTCCAATTTTATTTCGTTTTTAGCTTTCAACTTGCTTACTGAACTTGGTGCTTTCATGGGTAATTCCAATTTTGTTTCGTTTTTAGAGTTAAACTCCCCACCAGATGGCAGCTGCAGTCTGCCGGCTAAGGAACAAGTGCCCCGTGACATGAGATAGTTCGTCCTTGACCTTGGTATCCTGTCCCACTGACCGCCATACTCACACATGTTCCCGAGCCGCAACTCACCACGCACATATTTCCCTAAAAATAATAAATATTGGAACTGATATTGTTATCTAACACAGAGTCAGTTGTGTCAAAACGTCAAGTACTGGAAAAGGACGAGTAGCCTCCATAGGAAGGATTATTTCTTAACGTCTTTACACTTCCGACAATGGAAAAAAAGTAAACTTTTTCCAACACTTAAGATAAAAATTATTGTCCAATTCATGCCAAAGGCATGGACAATCCAACAGATAAAATACATGACATTTAGCAAAATGTGCTCAGTAACGCTGTATTGTTTTAACTTAATATAATAAAGTATTGATAGCCAATTTAAGCCAACATATAGATGTTTAAAATACTTATATGACTGGCTTTATAGGTCCACACTTTCTTACCTTTTAGTAAATATTCTTCTCCAGTAATTAAATAAGTATCACAGACGACAGAGGATCTGTTTGCCGTCACGTAATTGTCACCAGTTTCAAGATTTCCAGACACATCCTAAAAGTAATGTCAATAAATGCTGATTTTTGGAACGAGTTATTAGGTTGGAAAAGGATAAACAGCAAAGAAAAATAGAAGTATTTCACTGGATATACAACATTCCTAATAGATCACTTAGTTACATCAATCCCCCACCCAAAACCGTAAAAAAATTAGAAAAAAAAATAAATAAAATAAAATAAACACAAACTCGAGAACAATTTTAAAGCTTTAACGGTAATTTCTATACTTAACAGTTTACAAATTAAAGTTTCTAGCCCCAGCTCACAACAAAGATTGACTTTAATCTATGTTGCATACGTACTTCGTTTTATGACAAAGGCTTACTTTAAATATATGTTGTATATGTACAGGGTATTTAGCGGCAGGTCGGTACGAAACCGAGGGCTGGATGACGTCACGGCTCTGAGCGGATTTCATCACCTTTGCCTTGATCACTGAAATAGCACAAAGAAGTAAACATTACGATAGGGGGCATCATAATTTTTTAATAATAACTCCCGTGTTGCCTAATCATGCGTCGTACGGCATATTTCAGGTGACTGCAGTCTTGCAGAGAAAATCTGCCTTCATCTTCAACTTTCAGCCACCGTTCTCTAGAAAATTAATACTGCAAATCAACATAATTTAATTCTCTGATACAAATGCATTCAACGAGGGGTAAGTAAACAAAAACTACCGCAAAGAATGTTCCATGCTTGTTCGTTCTTATGTATGCTATGTTAACTGTAAGCTCACCAAAGTGGTTGTTTCCAAGGCAGTCGAAAGACTCTCTTGTGTCTGGTCGTCTACAAACACATCCATGTTTTAGCTTCTCGAACCTGGAAACAAGTGACCCTAAGGTAAGAGACAGACAGACAGACACACAGACAGATGGACTCTCTTCATAACCAGCATAGCAGTTTCCTGTGTCACGCCGGCTTGACATGTTATAGATATGAACAACAGTCAAACTTGAACGATGAAAAACTAAACTTTTCTATGTTAAATTGGCCAAAGATGGATAGAAAGCTGTGCTACAGTTGGATAAGATTCAAGGTTGTGACAGACTTCACAAATCGACTAAATTTGCAAACTGGCCATAAGTTGAATAAGTTGCCTTTCACAAAAGCTCGAAGGATATACGCACCCTTTCTCTCCCAACGTCTCCTTATGAGCCTTCTTGGATGATACCAGTTTTGTTTCATTTTTAGATTTCAACTCGCTTGCTAAACTTGGAGCGCTCTTGGGTGAATCCAATTTTATTCCGTTTTTAAGTTTCAACTCCTTTGCTAAACTTGGAACCATCTCGGATGATACCAGTTTTGTTTCGATTTTAGATTTAAACTCCCTTACTAAACTGGGATATTTCTCCCGTGGTTCCAATTTTGTTTCGTTCTTAGATTTCAACTTGTTAAGTGAACTTGGAGCTTTCTTGGATGGCACCAGTTTTGTTTCGTGTGTAGTTTTCAACTTGCTTGCTAAACTTGGTGCTTTCTTGGGTACTTCCAATTTTGTTTCGTTTTTAGATTTCAACTCGCTTGCTGAACTTGGAGCGATCTTGGGTGATTCCAATTTTCTTTCATTATTAGATTTAAGCTCGCCACCAGATGGAATCTGCAGTCTGTCGGCTAAAGAACAAGTGCCCCGTGACATGAGATAGTTCGTCCTTGACCTTGGTATCCTGTCCCACTGACCGCCATACTCACACATGTTCCCGAGCCGCAACTCACCACGTACATATTTTCCTGAAAAATAATAAATACTAAAATCGATGTTGTTATATAACTCGGCCTCAATTATGTCGAAAAATCATGCGTAAATTAGTAAGAGTTTGTAAATAAATTATCAAAAAACTAAAGAAAATTAAGAAGTGAGATATTTAAACCTCCATTCATCTTATAATAAAAACAAAGACTTTATCTATGTCTAAAATGATAAAATGTGTCAACATTAAGTAGAAGTGAAGCTGAGAGAGAAGGCCGCAGCGTTATTTTCCTTATATTTTCCAAATATAGGTCTAAAACGTGTATTTGATAGATTTAAAAGGCTCACACTTTCTTACCTTTTAGTAAATATTCTTCTCCAGTAATTAAATAAGTATCACAGACGAAAGAGGATCTGTTTGCCGTCACGTAATTGTCACCTGCCTCAAGACTTCCAGACACATCCTATAATTATTCAACATTCCCATTTTATCACTAACTAACATGAATATCCAATCCAAAACCGCCAAAAATGACGATGAAGAGACCCATTTTCGAGCTATTACGGTCACTTCTTTATTTTACGGTTTACAAGTTTAATTTACAAACTCCCAACTTAAAACCAAGACTTACTTAAAGTACATGTTTATAGACTTGCCTTAAATATATGTTGTATATGTACAGGGTATTTAGCTGCAGGTCGGTACGAAACCGAGGGCTGGATGACGTCACGGCTCTCAGCGGCTTTCATCACCTTTGCCTTGATCACTGAAACAGCACAGAGAAGTAAACATTTCGATAGGGGGCATCATCATTTTTTTAAAAGAATAACTCCCTTGTTGCCTAATCATGCGTCGTAAGGATAGATTTTAGGTGGCTGCAGTCTTGCAGAGAAAATCTGCTTTCATCTTCAACTTTCAGCCACCGTTCACTCGAAACTTAATAGTGCAAATCAACATAATTCTATTTTCCGATTCAAAAACATCCAACAAGGGGAAAATAACCAAAAACTATCGCAAAGAATTTCCCATGCTTGTTCGTTCCTATGTATGCTATATTAAGACTCACCAAAGTGATTGTGTCCAAGGCAGTCGAAAGATTCTCTTGTGTCTGGTCGTCTACAAACACATCCATGTTTTAGCTTCTCGAACCTAGAAACAAGTTATCCTAAGGTAAGAAACAGTCAGATAGACAGACAGACAAACAGACAGACAGACAGATGGACTCTCTTCATAAGCAGCATAGCGGTTTTCTGTTTCATGCTGGCTTTACATGTTTTAGATATGAATACCAGTCAAACTTGAACGATGAAAAACTTAACTCTTGTATGTTAAATTGGCCAAAGATGGATAGAAAGCTGTGCTACAGTTGGATGAGATTCAAGGTTGTGCCAGACTTCACAAATCGACTCAATTTGCAAACTGGCCATAGCAAATTTAAAAACTGAATAAGTTGCCTTTCACAAAAGCTTGAAGGATATACGTACCCTTTCTCTCCCAACGTCTCCTCATGAGCCTTCTTGGATGATACCAATTTTGTTTCGTTTTTAGATTTCAACTCGCTTGCTAAACTTGGAGCTTTCTTGGATGATACCAGATTTGTTTCGTGTGTAGTTTTCAACTTCCTTGCTAAACTTGGTGCTGTCTTGAGTGGTTCCAGTTTTCTTTCGTTTTTAGATTTCAACTCGCTTGCTGAACTTGGAGCAATCTTGGGTGAGTCCAATTTTGTTTCGTTTTTAGATTTAAACTGGCCACCAGATGGCAGCTGCAGTCTGTCGGCTAAGGAACAACTGCCCCGTGACATGAGATAGTTCGTCCTTGACCTTGGTATCTTGTCCCACTGACCGCCATACTCACACATGTTCCCGAGCCGCAACTCACCACGCACATATTTCCCTGAAAAATAATAAATATTGCAACCGATATTGTTATATAACTCAGCCTCACTTATGTCGAAAAATCATGCGTAAATTAGAAGGTGTTTGTAAATAAATTATCAAAAAACTAAAGAAAAATTAAGAATTGAGATAAATAAACTTTCATTCATATTATAATAAACAGAAAGACTTTATTTATATCTAAAATGATAAAACGAGTCAACATTAAGTAGAAGTGAAGCTGAGAAGGACGCAGGTTGTTTTCCTTATATTATTAAGTGTTGACAGCCATTGTAAGTCAAGATACAGATGTTAAAATCCGTATATGATTGAATTTAAAGGCTCACACTTTCTTACCTTTAAGTAAAAACTCTTCTCCCGTAATCAAATAAGTATCACAGACGAAAGAGGATCTGTTTGTCGTCACGTAATTGTCACCTTTCTTAAGACTTCCAGACACATCCTAAAAATATTCAATGTTCCCATTTTATCCCTTACTAACAAGAATATCCAATCCAAACCGCCAAAAATAACGATGAAGAGACCCATTTTAGAGCTATTACGGTCACTTCTATATTTTAAGGTTACAAGTTTAATTTACAAACTCCCACCTTAAAACTAAGACTTACTTAAAGTACATGTTCATAGACTTACTTTAAATATATGTTGTATATGTACAGCGTATTTAGCGGCAGGTCGGTACGAAACCGAGGGCTGGATGACGTCACGGCTCTCAGCGGATTTCATCACCTTTGCCTTGATCACTGAAAGAGCACGAAGAAGTAAACATTACAATAGTCGGCATCATCATTTCAATGTCTTTAAACAGTAACTCCTGAATTGCCCAATCATACGTCGTATTACATATTTTAGACGGGTGCAGTTTTGCAGAGAAAATCTGCCTTCATCTTCATGTTTCAGCCCACCGTTCACTCGGAAATAGATAGTATGAATCAAAACAATTACATTTCACGAATACAAAAGAATCTGAGAAGCGAAAATGCTACCGCAAAAAATTTCCATGCTTATCCTTTCTCATATATAAACTGTAAGCTCACCAAAATGATTGTTTTCAAGGCAGTCAAACGATTTTCTTATATCTGGTCGTCTACAAACACATCCATGTTTCAGCTTCTGGAACCTGGAAACAAGTGATCCAAAGGTAAGAGACAGACAGGCAGACTTCATATCAAGCTGAGCAATTTTCTGTGTGGCACCGGCTTTACATCTTATAGATGTGAACACCAAATTATTAAACTTGAACGATGAACAACTGAACTTTTCAATGTTGAATGGGCCACACATTGATAGATAACTGTGCTACAATTGGATAAGATTCAAGGTTGTGATCGACTTCACAAATTGTAAGCCGATCATAGCATAAACTGAATAAGTTGCCTTTCACAAAAGCTCGAAGGATGTACGTACCTGATATCTCCCAACGTCTTCTTAGGAGCCATCTCGGATGATCCCAGTTTTGTTTCGTTCTTAGATTTAAACTCGCTCGGTAAACTTGGAGCTTTCTTGGGTGGTTCCAGTTTTCTTTCGTTTTTAGGTTTCAACTCGCTTGCTAAACTTGGGGCTTTCTTGGGTGAGGCCAATTTTCTTTCGTTTTTAGGTTTCAACTCGCTTGCTAAACTTGGGGCTTTCTTGGGTGAGGCCAATTTTCTTTCGTTTTTAGGTTTCAACTCGCCTGCTAAACTTGGGGCTTTCTTGGGTGAGGCCAATTTTCTTTCGTTTTTAGGTTTCAACTCGCTTGCTAAACTTGGGGCTTTCTTGGGTGAGGCCAATTTTCTTTCGTTTTTAGGTTTCAACTCGCCACCAGATGGCAGCTGCAGTCTGTCGGCTAAGGAACAACTGCCCCGTGACATGAGATAGTTCGTCCTTGACCTTGGTATCCTGTCCCACTGACCGCCATACTCACACATGTTCCCGAGCCGCAACTCACCATGCACATATTGCCCTGAAAAATAATAAATATTGAAATTGATATTGTTATATAGTTCACAGAGTCAGTTATGTCGAAACGTCAATTACTGGTAAAGACGAGTAGTTTCCACAGAAAGAATTATTTCTTATCGTCTTTACACTTCGGACAATGGAAAACGTGAACTTTTTCACCACTAAAGATAAAATTTCTTAGCCAATTCATGCCAAAGGCAAGGACAATCAAACAGACATTATGCATGACAAATTGTGCTCAGTAATGCTGCATTGTTTAACTGTATATAATTAAGTATTGACAGCCAATTTATAGAATTTTAAAATGCGTATATGAATGGTTTTATAGGTCCACACTATCTTACCTTTAAGTAAATAATCTTCTCCTGTAATTAAATAAGTATCACAGACGAAAGAGGATCTGTTTGCCGTCACGTAATTGTCACCTGTCTTAAGACTTCCAGACACATCCTAAAATTAAGGGCAACTAAGTTTATGTTTCGCACCAGTTATTATAGTTAATGTGGAAATTACAAAGAGCAGAGAAAAATTAAAATATTTCACTGGAAATTCAACATTCTTAATTTATCACTAATTAACATGAGTATCCTATCCAAAACCGCCAAAAAGTAACGATCAAGAGAACCGGTCACTTCCATATTTTACGGTTTGCAAGTTAAAAGTTAACAGCTTCCACCTTATAACCAAGATTAACTTTTAGTACATGTTCAATTTACACCACGTTTGATGAAAAAAAGACCTACTTTAAATATATGTTGTATATGTACAGGGTATATAGCGGCAGGTCTGTACGAAACCGAGGGTTGGATGACGTCACGGCTCTCAGCGGATTTCATCACCTTTGCCTTGATCACTGAAATAGCACAGAGAAGTAAACATTTTGGAAAGTGGCATCATCCTTTCAATATTTGTAAGAGTATCCAGGAGATAAAACTTCCCGATATTGTTTTCTTACAAATAAAGCCCTTTTCAGCTCCGTTGATATTTTTTTTTCCTAAAGCGTTGTTAAACATACTAGAATAGCAAGAAATACATAAGTATTCGTGAAAACAAGAAAACCCTAGTGTCTTATGCATGGACGGCCAAGTCAAAGATTATAATACCGATCGAATAAAGTAAACAGTTCAATTGTCAACTGAATTTTCCGTTTTTGATCTTACAATATACTCACCAAAATGGTTGTCTCCAAGGCAGTCGAATGATTCTCTTGTGTCTGGTCGTCTACAAACACATCCATGTTTTAGCTTCTCGAACCTAGAAACAAGTGATCCTAAAACCTAAGTCAGATAGACAGACAGACAGACAGACAAACAGACAGACAGACAGATGGACTCTCTTCATAAGCAGCATAGCGGTTTTCTGTGTCACGCCGGCTTTACATGTTATAGATATGAACACCAGTCAAACTTGAACGATGAAAAACTGAACTCCTGTACGTTAAATTGGCCAAAGATGGATAGAAAGCTGTGCTACAGTTGGATGAGATTCAAGGTTGTGACAGACTTCACAAATCGACTCAATTTGCAAACTGGTCATAGCAAATTTAAAAACTGATTAAGTTGCCTTTCACAAAAGCTCTAAGGATTACGTACCCTTTCTCTCCCAACGTCTCCTTATGAGCCTTCTTGGATGATACCAGTTTTGTTTCGTTTTTAGATTTCAACTCGCTTGCTAAACTTGGGGCTTTCTTGGGTGAGGCCAATTTTCTTTCGTTTTTAGGTTTCAACTCGCTTGCTAAACTTGGGGCTTTCTTGGGTGAGGCCAATTTTCTTTCGTTTTTAGGTTTCAACTCGCCACCAGATGGCAGCTGCAGTCTGTCGGCTAAGGAACAACTGCCCCGTGACATGAGATAGTTCGTCCTTGACCTTGGTATCTTGTCCCACTGACCACCATACTCACACATGTTCCCGAACCGCAACTCACCATGCACATATTTCCCTGAAAAATAATAAATATTGCAACCGATATTGTTATATAACTCAGCCTCACTTATGTCGAAAAATCATGCGTTAATTAGAAAGTGTTTGTAAATGAATTATCAAAAAACTAAAGCAAAATTAAGAATTGAGATAAATAAACTTTCATTCATATTATAGTAAACACAAAGACTTTATTTATATCTAAAATGATAAAACGAGTCAACATTAAGTAGAAGTGAAGCTGAGAAGGACGCAGGTTGTTCTCCTTATATTATTAAGTGTTGACAGCCATTGTAAGTCAAGATATAGATGTTAAAATCCGTATATGATTGAATTTAAAGGCTCACACTTTCTTACCTTTTAGTAAATATTCTTCTCCAGTAATCAAATAAGAATCGCACACGAAAGATGATCTGTTTGCCATCACGTGATTGTCACCTGTCTTAAGACTTCCAAACACATCCTGAAATTATTCAATGTTCCCATTTTATCCCTAACTAACATGAATATCCAATCCAAAACCGCAAAAAAATGACGATGAAAGACCCATTTTCGAACTATTACGGTCACTTCTATATTTACAATTTTAATTTACAAACTACCACCTTAAAACCAACACTTACTTTAAGTACATGTTCATAGACTTTCTTTCAATATATGTTCCATATTATGTATGGTATTTTATGCCAAAGACTTACTTTAAATATATGTTGTATATGTACAGCGTATTTAGCGGCAGGTCGGTACGAAACCGAGGGCTGGATGACGTCATGGCTCTCAGCGGATTTCATCACCTTTGCCTTGATCACTGAAATAGTACAAAGAAGTAAACATTACGATAGGGGCATCATAATTTTTTAAAGAATAACTCCCGTGTTGCCCAATCATGCGTTGTATAGCATGTTTCAGGTGGCTGCAGTCTTGCAGAAAAAAAAATCTGCCTTCATCTTCAACTTTCGGCCACCATTCACTCAAAAATTAATAGTGCAATTAAACATAGATTTATTCTCCGATACAAAAACATCCAACAAGGAGAAAGTAATCAAAAACTACCACAAAGAATGTTCTATGCTTGTTCGTTCTTATGTATGCTTTGTTAACTGTAAGCTCACCAAAGTGATTGTGTCCAAGGCAGTCGAAAAATTCTCTTGTGTCTGTTCGTCTACAAACACATCCATGTCTTAGCTTCTCGAACCTAGAAACAAGTGATCCTAAGGTAAGAGACAGTCAGATAGACAGACAGAAAGACAGATGGACTCTCCTCATAACAAGCATAGCAGTTTTCTGTGTATCTCCGGCTTGACATCTCATAAACAAGAACACCAGTCAAACGATGAAAACTGAACATTTCTATGTTAAATTGGCCAAAGATGGATAGAAAGCTGTGCTATGTCAGTTGGATAAGTTTCGAGGTTGTGACCGACTTCACAAATCGACTAAAATTGCAAACTGGCCATAGCGAAAACTGAATTATGTGCCTTTCACAAGAGCTCAAATAATGTACGTACCTGATATCTTGCAACATCTTTTCAGGAGCCAGCTTGGATGATACCATTTTTGTTTCGTTTTTAGATGCAAGGCCGCCAACTAAACTTGGAGCTTTCTTTGGTGGTTCCAATTTTGTTTCGTTTTTAGATTTCAAGTCGCTAAGTGAACTTGGAGCTTTCTTGGATGATACCAGTTTTGTTTCGTTTTGAGCTTTCAACTTGCTTAGTAAATTTGAAGCTTTCTTGGGTGGGTCCAATTGTATTTCGTTTTTAGATTTCAACTCCTTTGCTAAACTTGGAGCTATCTTGGGTGATTCCGATTTTGTTTCGTTTTTAGATTTAAAATGACCACCAGATGGCAGATGCAGTCTGTCGGCTAAGGAACAAATGCCCCGTGCCATGAGATAGTTCGTCCTTGACCTTGGTATTGTGTCCCACTGACCGCCATACTCACACATGTTCCCGAGCCGCAACTCACCACGTACATATTTCCCTGAAAATGATTAGTATAAAACTTTATATTGTAACCTAAAACAGAATCAGTTATGTCAAAACGTCATGCGCTGTAATCTCCATAGAAAGAATAATTTCTTATCATTTCTACACTTCAGGCAATGCAAAATAAAAATAAAAAAATAATAATAATAATAATAAATAAAAAAAACAATAATAATAATAATAAATAAAAAAACAATAATAATAATAATAAATAAATAAACTTTTTCACCACTAAAGATAGAATTTATTGGCCAATTCGTGCCAAAGGCAAGGACAATCAAACAGACAAAATGCATGACATTCAGCAAAATATGCTCAGTGACGCTCCATAGTTTAAATTTATATAATCAAGTATTGACAGCCATTTTAAGCCAACACATGACTGGTCTTATAGGTCCACACTTTATTACCTTTAAGTAAATATTCTTCTCCAGTAATTAAATAAGTATCACATACGAAAGAGGATCTGTTTGCCGTCACGTAATTGTCACCAGTCTCAAGACTTCCAGACACATCCTAAAATTATTCAATGTTCCCATTTTATTACTAACTAACATGAATGACCTATCCAAAACTGCAAATAAATAAATAAATAAATAAATAATAATGAAGAGATTCATTTTCGAGGTATTACGGTCACTTTTAAAACGAAGATTTACTTTAAGTATATGCTCAATTTACACTGCGTTTGATGACAAAAGTCTTACTTTGAATATATGTTGTATATGTACAGGGTATTTAGCGGCAGGTCGGTACGAAACCGAGGGCTGGATGACGTCACGGCTCTCAGGGGATTTCATCACCTTTGCCTTGATTACTGAAATAGCACAGAGAAGTAAACATCATGAGATGGGGCAACATCATCTCCATATCTTTTAAGAATCACACCCGAATTGCCCAATAATACACCGTATGGCAGATTTTTGACGGCTGCAGTCTTGCAGAGAAAATCTGCCTTCATCTTCAACATTTAGTCCACCGTTTACTCGAAAATTAATAGTGCATATCAAATTAATTTCATTTTTCCGAATACAAAAGTATCTGACAAGGAAACATACTACGGCAAACAATTTTCCATTCTTGTCCTTACTTATATAAACTGTAAGCTCACCAAAATGGTTGTTTCCAAGGCAGTCGAATGATTTTCTTGTGTCAGGTCGTCTACAAACACATCCATGTTTCAGCTTCTCGAACCTAGAAGCAAGTGATCGTAAGGTAAGAGGCAGACAGACAGACAGACAGACAGGCACATAGACAGACAGACAGGCATGTAGACAGACAGACAGACGAACAGACAGACTGACGGGCTTTCTTCATATTGAGCATAGCATTTTTCTGTGTGGCGCCGGCTTGACATCTTAAATATTAAGACCAGGAGGTTGTGATCAACTTAACAAATCGACTAAACCGGTCCTAGCAAAAACTAAATAAGTTGTCTTTCACAAAAGATCGGATCGAAGGCTGTACGTACCTGATATATCCCAACGTCTTCTTTGGAACAATCTCGGATGATACCAGTTTTGTTACGTTTTTAGATTTAAATTCGCTCAGTAAACTTGGAGCTTTCTTGGGTGGTTCCAATTTTCTTTCGTTTTTAGATTTCAACTCGCTTGCTAAACTAGGGGATTTCTTGGATGAGTCCAATTTTAGTTCATTTTTAGGTTTCATCTTGTTTGCTGAATTTGGTACTTTCTTGTGTGAATCCAATTTTGTTTCGTTTTTAGATTTAAGCTCGCCACCAGGTGGCAGCTGCAGTCTGTCGGCTAAAGAACAAGTGCCCCGTGACATGAGATAGTTCGTCCTTGACCTTGGTATACTGTCCCACTGACCGCCATACTCACACATGTTCCCGAGCCGCAACTCACCACGTACATATTTCCCTGAAAAATAATAAATATTGAAGCTGATATCGTTACATAACACACAGTCAGTTATGTCGAAATGTCATGTGTGATAGGTGGAAAACACGTTTAGTCTCTATAGAAAAGATTAATTTTTTATCATCTTCACACATTCGACAATGTCATAAAGTCTGTGGACAAAGCTTGGACTACTTAAAGAGCAAAACCAACGCATATCTTCAGGACCATTTACCTCAGAGGGTGTCACAAACAGGGGGCGGATCCTGGTTTATTTGAAGTGGGGGTCCGTTGATGCGAAGCCGGACCACCCACCCCCTGACCCCCTCTAAATCCGCCACTGACGAACTGTTGAACTAAATACGTCTGTTTTCATCGGCAATGAAGGTATATAGACAGGATATATAAATATTGCTCTTCACAAAAAGAAATTTGGTGGTTTACCACTAAAGGTTAACCACAACCCGCAGTTACATCAGCCAAAGTTCAAGAATCCTTCCCTAATAACCGTCTGTTGTGTCTTGCACAGATAAAACGAAACTAATCAAATAGAAAAGCGATGATATATGCCGCAAATGACCCAAACCAAGTTATTTTTAAAACTTGACATTCTCAATTTAAACGTGGAAATTCTAGCTACATCACTTAAAGTTAAAAATATTTTCTATTAACAATATGTCAGTGTATCAGTGTGGTAAGTGTTGTTTATACACCCTGTAAGTACACATATATATTGTCTTCTTATAAAACTTTCTAATACTCATTTCTGTTTGTAGCTGGTATTCGTAAGCAGTTTCTGTTGCTAATGTAAAGTGTTTTTTTTTTATGAGTGCCGTAAAACACAACTTAGATTTCCTAGCAGTAAATGATCTTTTTCTGTAGACTAAACACCAAGGTATCACATAAAACCGTGGGACATATGATCTTTTATTCGGGTTTTGATGGTAAAGGGGAAGGTGATGCAATTTCAGGCAATTATTTTCGGTAAGACGTACACTGTAGCAAGCGATGGCTGACTTAAATATGAAACAAGTCCGAGGGCGATATGCAAAATTGTCTAATTAAACTAAGGCTAGTCCTACACATCGTAACAAATTCAAAAATCGACGATTTGCTATCGTCACTGTATCATTTTTCATATTCGAAGAGAGTTTCAAGTTTAACGGCGCACTGGTGCACTTGGAGAACAAAGTCCATTCACCCAAACGCGAGATCAATATCAGCCCTGATGAAGAAGTATTTTGTTTTCAGGTGTTGAAATTGCTAGTATATCGTCGTAAAGATCAGACATCGTGTAACACGGCTCAGGCTCAGGGCTCTGGGTGTGAGAGGAGGGCTCACTCTGTACCCGCTTTAAAGGGTTATAGACACATTCTCAACCTCTCCCTTTCATTTATTTATTTGTTTGTTTGTTTAATGTTTAATATTCCTCAGTATATATTTATATCCATAGGTTAAATTATTCTAGTACATACTGGTTCGTAAGAAAAATTCCTCTTCTTTTCTTTTAGTTGTTGTTTATTCAAATATTTATCTTTCTGATTCTTTTTTTTTTTTTTGTTGTTGTTTTCTTTCCTTTTTTTAAACTTCAGTAAACTTTTTGTTCAGTACTTCTCTTCTGCACCCTCTATCCGGCTATTAATTTGACATGTGAATCTCAAATTTTGTCTGACGGATTGGTCCCGCCACGGAAGAACAGAGAGTGGTATTCATTTGTAATTCATTGGCTCAGCATTTGGCGTGATGGAAGCGTGATGAGATCGAATTTTTTGAGAGATAACTTTGTTGTTTGTGTGACCTGAAGAACTGCATGTTCAGAATACTGCACCGCGTGACACTGGTCAGTTGAAATGTTTGTGTCCAGTTTACCAATGGACCTCTGTGTAACCGCGAAGCGACGTTTTGAAAGGACACCTCTTTCTCCCCCCCTTCCCCCTCTCTCTCTCTCTCTCTCTCTCTCTCCAGACCCTATAAAAGATGTTTGTAAACGGAGTACCCTAAACCTGTCTTGTAATATTTAGGGTCTGCTTCAATGACCCTTCTTTGAAAATAAAGAATTGTTTTCTGATTATCCTTTTAAGAGGTGTTAGAAGATTTAACGAAGTTAAGAAACACTTATGTTTAAAATAAAAGTAACCTAACGGCGGGATGTAAACAGTGCCTAGCACCTTGTGGTCCTTTGATAATACTATGCCTTTTTATTTTATTTATAAATCGCCGACCTCAGCGTTCCTAAAATCGGCCTCGTGGTGGTCATTCCGGTCGCTGTGGTCAACCATTTCCGGAACGTTAAATCCAAATATAGTCAGATATCATGATGGTTTTCAGATACAAGATCTAACCGTTTTTGATGAATTTCTATTATTCTTTTTTTTAATTCATTTATTTTCCAGTGCCTCGTTAGCGTCACAGCTGTCAAACTCTCTTAATAAAAAAACTAAATGAAAAATCAAAAAGTGAGATTAATCGACTTTCATTTCAAATTAAATTTTTCACCTTTTTTAAAATGAGGAAATCTTTCAGCATCTTAGGGAAGTCAAGATGACGGGACGCTGCATTGTTTAGGGGAGAGCGGGGCTAGTTGAACCCCGGGATAAGTCCCCCCCCACCCCACCCCACCCCCCACCCCACCCCCATCAAATTATGACAAAGTAACATGGGGTAAAAGTATTGATCACATCATTTTGTAAAGTGGCCCTATCCAATAGTGCTAAGAAAGCGTCGGCAGTGAGTCCAAATGAAATAATTTAGCATCTTAAAGTAACTTTATTAAAAAGACTTGATGGGGGGCCAACTTACCCCGGGGTCCAACTAGCCCCGGTCTCCCCTACCTTATATCATTAAGTGTTGACAGCCATACTAAGCCCAGATATAAATGATAAAAATGCATATATGACTGATATTAAAGGTTCACACTTTCTTACCTTTAAGTAAATATTCTTCTCCCGTAATTAAATAAGTATCACAGACGAAAGAGGATCTGTTTGCCGTCACGTAATTGTCACCTGTCTTAAGACTTCCAGACACATCCTAAAATTAATGTCAATAAATGTTTATTTTCGAACAAGTAACTACATATCATGTGGACAAAAAGAAAAGTATTTCCTGGAAAATTTTCAACATCACCCCTTTTTCACTAAATACCGTACCCAAAACCATAAGAAAATTACGATCTAGAGACCCATTTTTGAGCTATTCATTTCGATATATAACCGTTTGCGAATGAGATGCAACAGCCCTCGCCTTAACTGGTCGACTTATGTCATTAAATTCTTTTGACGAAGACTTTTATTAAATATGTTCCATGTTATGTATGGCGTTTTATGCCAAAGACTTACTTTGAATATATGTTGTATATGTACGGAGTATTTAGCGGCAGGTCTGTACGAAACCGAGGGCTTGATGACGTCACGGCTCTCAGCGGATTTCATCACCTTTGCCTTGATCACTGAAATAGCACAGAGAACTAAACATTACATAGGGGGCATCATCAGCTCTTTACCTTTCAGAGTAACTCCCGTACTGCCAAATTATAAGTCACTTATATAAGATGGCTGTAGTTTTCTATATGTAGATATAATTAACCTTCAACCTTTCAGCCGACTTTTCAGTCGAAATTTTCTGTTACGACCAAAATTTTATTTTCCGAAGACAATAGCATCCGACTAGAGAAGAATTTTCTAATAAAATGAATGCTACTGGTCAGAAATGAGTGGCTTTTAGGTCTATACATTGCTTCTGCCAAGCTCTAGGATTCAGTTGTCCTAGCCATTTGTTTAAAAAATCAGGTATTGTATTTTACAAGTTATTCTTTCTTTCTACTCCCTTGATACATTTTGTCTTATAGCCGTTCCTTAACACACTTACTAAGTCCAGAAAAACGTTTTAAATAGATCATAAAACACGAAAACTCCAGTGTCTAAGATGGCCAAATAAAAGTTTCCCATACCGAGGAAAGTTAACCGTACAACTGCGAGCTGAATTTTCCATTCTTGCTCTTATTTATATTAAATGTATACTCACCAAAATGGTTGTGTCCCAGGCAGTCGAAAGACTCTCTTGTATCTGGTCGTCTACAAACACATCCATGTTTCAGCTTCTGGAACCTGGAAATAAGTGATCTTAAATTAATTATATATAAGAGACAAATAAACCAATAAACTGTCCTCACAAGCCTGAGCGTTCTCTATTAATCCCAGTCTGACAGAGTGACACCTCAATAGTCTGCTGGGGTTTTTACATACGATAAAAGAGTCTCCTCAACGGAGCAGCTCGTTACCCCCCCCCCCCCCCCAATCCCTCCCCCACCACCCTACCGCCTCCATGGTGCAAATTTATTATATAGTTGCTGGAATAATAGATTATTACAAACTTTTGAAGAGATGACAGATTTCTTGGAATAAACGACCATTCTCCATGCAAAACAATTAATAACAAGTCCATTTCAACATACAAACTTCGTTCATGGTCCTACGTGTTATCCTCCTTCATTTGACAAATCAACACATACTGTACTCACAGAAACAAATACAATTAACTAAATCATCAACAACATTAACATTATTATTATTGTTGTTGTTGTTATTATTATAATTTGCCTCAATGAAAAACAGATGTACTAATGGTTCCATGATAGGTTTTTTTATGAGTCAATCAGCGTTGCACTTCAAGGAGTTGCTGTTTTGTGGACAAGTCATCCAAATTAATTCGCGTAAGAAAGTAAACTATATAGCTAGTCATTGACCGCCGTTTATGAAGGCACGCAAACAAAGATTATAACACGCAACAAAGCGTTGACTTATACTTTGATGAAGATTGCCAGTAATGTGGGATTCACCTCAGTCAATGACCATGATTGATGTTGATGTGTTCACTGATTTGACCGACTGTCCAGGAAATTATTAGCCCAAAGGACAGTAATTACTACAGTGGCCGATGCATAATTGATATATAGTTAAGAAACTGTCATAGTTATCGAGTGATGAACATCGCTGATAAAATTCTTCACTGAATTAACTTTAAAAACTTTAATTTGCATGTGCGCGCGTCTCATAACGCAGGGTCTGTAAAATAATCAAATTATGAAAATCAATGAATAAAAAGTTTTCACAAAAAAAAAAAAAAAAAAATCTTGAAGATTTTTGGCTCTATGAAAAAAGGGTGCTCTATGAAAAAAGGGTGTAGAAGGGACGACAGGTTAACGTCCCCTCTGATATGAGGTCAAGATAATCCAGCTATGTGGTGGGTAATTATTTCAAACTATCATGAATGACTCGTGCTCGTTAGCCCTTGCCTCCTCATCCTAGGCCCCATTCAGAATAACGGACGAACTAGTCCGAGGGTCAAATATGGCCGAGCCACTTGAATACTTCTCCGCGGGATATCTATTCAACGTCTACTAGCGGATTAGACGACAAGCTTTTGGGTCGCCATATTTGATCCTCGGACTAGTTAGTCCCCTGTTCTGAATGGCCTCCTAAACGTGTTAAGGTAGACCTCTAGCCCACGGTCACGCTGACTGGTGTTGTGTTTGTAAATTCTATGACAGATTACTACAAATATGGGAAGCAGAACACCGGGGTTCCTGTTGGCTGCTGGTTAAGAAAATTAAGAAAGCCTGAAAATGTTCAATGCCCTGTCTAAGATTAAAAAATAAAGAAAGCAATATTTATGTTCTCGAGTATTAACTATTGACTGTTATATACAGTACTTGCATTTCCAGTTTAAAATAAAAGGGGTTTATCATTTTTCAATGCAGATACGAACAGACATAAACTACCTCTTTCGTGTTGCTTCAAAAAATAAACGGCTAATGGTATTTTATATTACACTCCTTTTTGAAATGAGTTTTACTTAGCCTTCTATTAGTGGATTCCTGTTCTGTGCTGCTTGCTTAATACGAGTGCATATGAACACGTGTAGAAAAGGAAACTCACGACTAAAATTCTATATTTTGTTTTTAGATAATACACAGGGAGGACGAGAGAGGAGGGGAGAGACTGTGTTACTCGTAACTGGTATGCATTTACCTTTGACACAAATGTCCATTTAATCTATGTTTTATACGAATGTTCATTTAATTTATATTCTATACGAATTAATTCATACTTAAAAGAGAATGAGCAAATATTTGCTGAAGTCCGCTGTGCGGACAAAATTTCCATGGAAATAAATATACGTGGGTCACTCTAAGTAAAAGAGTGACAGAGAGTGACAGAAAAGAATGTGTGTTAGTGTGTGCGTGTGCGCTCGAGAGAAAATGTTGCAGTGTGGAGTGCACTACTTTACAAATGGACCCGACGATACAATGGCATTTTTGTTTATAACTTCGATCGTTAACTGACTTTTCAATTCTTTACATTTATAAGCTGTTACTAAGACTTGAATTAAATAGTATTTAGGTCCAGTTAGGTTCTCTCTTGTTTTCTGTCCTATCAATCGATTATAATGATTAACGTATTAATCAATACTATCGTTCACTCTCTCCGCACGTTGTTGTAATAAGTCACCACACCAAACAAGGGGCGTGTTCTTCAAAAAGATTGACAATCGTGATAAGACCATCCACTCTTATTTGTAAGCCCTTTAATAATCGCACCCCGGAAGACATATCAATGAAGCAGTAGAAATATAACCAAACTTTTGTCCCTTACGGTCAAAGGAACCATCATGATTGAAGTAATTATTAGCACGTTAGATAAGTGGTGCAACGATGGAGTAAAGATATCCGCCACAGTTCACGGCTAACAAGACGTCCCCACATATCAGTGAAAGACTTATCATTGTATAGCATCTACTATAAGTGGACATCGTGTCATAATTAAGAGAGGGAGATCACCATGACGGAATAGGAAACACTTTGTGAAGTATGCTAGATAGTTCTACGTCATCGTTATCATCTGTTGTAGTCGTCTAAAGTATAAGTCAACTGTTGTGTCAAGTTAGTGAAGTACATAGCGTCTCTGTGTTCTTACTTCGGGGTAATGAAAGTCTTAATTTCGTCATTGTGCCCCTCATGATATGTTTAATCTAGGATAGGAGATAAAATCTATATTCTGGGCCCTACGTTTAATGATCCAGGTAGAATAGTGAACATCCTTCAGCAAAGACATCAAAAACATGAATTAGTTCATTTCTCAGTCTGATGAAGATTTAGTAGCTATACAGTCAATGTTTTCACCGGCGATTAAGGTTTTTAGACAGGACATCTAAAAATTGCTCTTCACAAACTGAAATTTGGTGGTTCACCACTAAGGGCTAACCACAAACCTCAATTACATCAGCCAAAGTTCAAGAATCCTTCCATAATAACCGTCTGTTGTGTCGCGCACAGATAAAACGAAACTAATCGAACAGAAAAGCGATGATATATGCCGCAAACGACCCAAACCAAGCTATTTTTAAAACTTGATATTCTCAATTCAAACATGGAAATTCCAGCTACATCACTTAAAGTTAAAAATATTTTCTATTGACAATATGTCAGTGTATTAGTGTGGTAAGTGTCGTTTATACACCCTGTAACTACACATATATGTTTCAGAAAAGACAGGGAGGCGCTTGTTGCCGGGTTTTATCACATCTTTATCAACCATTCGCTTCCTATAAACATACATTGTGTTTATACACATACATACATACACCCTATTTCTCCCAGCGCCTTCTTAGGAAACCTGTATTTATGAAACTTTTCACAGCTGGATAAAAAGTTCTTCATTGCGTTATTGTAACAGACATAAGCCTAGGTTTGAAAAAACTCTGAACATTTATCATGTTACCCAACACCTATGCGGCCGGGGGACGGGGACGGCCTTAGAACTGAATTAAAAAACGCGGAATTCCGCGGAAAAAAGTTATCACTGTTGTAAGCATTGTCCATTGTTGCTGTCGCAAGAAGCGCACTGTATGAAAACAGAACGGTTAAATAAAGCACCAGAAACCAGCTAGTTCTTATGTTTCATAGACATAATAATGTTTATCTAACTGTTTACGGTAATCACTCTGCTGATTACATCTTGTATTTGTATTTAATCATGCCCAGATGTAGGGCGATTGTCATTAAACTTCTGTATCTGTATCATATGCGTTTTACTCTAATTTTTTCAAACAAGAGTGAATAACCACATTTTAAAGTGACAGGGTGTAGTTTGTCTCGTCTCGTGAGCTCATCACCCCGACTCCAAAGCTCAGAACAAATTCACGGTATCTCATCTTACGTTGTAAAATTACTTGAACTTCCTAAGTTGGAGGGGTAGGGGTGAGGACGTGCTCCCTGTACCCCCCCCCCCCCCCCCCCCCACTGTACTGAGGCTGTACTGGGAGCCTGCATTGTTCGCAGGCAACAAAGGGCGTCCATTCACAGCACCCAGTCGACTGATTCCTATCTCCCACTCACCACCTGATAACGTGGCCTCACCAGTACATCAACGCCAGCATTGTTCCGCCCAGCATATGAACGCTGAAGGATTTCACCTAGCGTTGTACTCACTGGAGTAAAGTCTGTGCAGCTCGAGATGTGCTTTTGTAGCATCCATGGTGAAGAATTTTAAAACGCGTGCCCCCCCCCCCCCCCACACACACACACGCGCGCGGTGTGTGAAGAAGCGAAAACTCAATTTTTTAATGTGAAGCTACTTCCGCGTACATCCTTTAAGGCTTGCGGTGTCAAAATATACAAATTATAGTCCCAGTAATTAATTCTATTGTTAATGCAGTTTTAGTACCTAGTTATAGAAGGCATTGTTTGGTCATAGCCCGTGTAAAATATCAAGTACTGTCTCTTCAAGACGAAGATATAAATCATTGGCTTTAATTTTTTTAAATCCATGACTGGATTTGAAAAGCAAAAAAAAAAAAAAAAAAGTTTTTACAATAATTATACTAAGCTAAAATAATTGCGCCTCGATATTTTAACTGTCTATTTATTTGTTGACGTTATTCATCTTATTCCGTTCATTTTACCCGTGATACCGTTAAGTTTACAGAACATTTTATATGGAATTTAGACAATAATTTATTATTATTATTATTATTATTATTATTATTATTATTATTATTATTATTATTTTATCGTTTTAGCTTAGCTTAGACCGCTTACCCAACTGCGTAAGTAAGACACTGATATTGTTCTAAAAAGGGTGTTTTACAACCTGAATATAGTTGACAGACATGACCTGCCTGCTGTCTCCCCTGACAGGTGACCACAGTGTCAACGCTGTCATATTCCACCTCGTTTGCTTACTTAAACCACCGAAATAAAATCTTTACTACCTATTAGACCTTCTGTGGAACGCAACTAACTATATAGGACAGGGGATTCAGAATTTCTGAAGACCGATTTAAGACTGCAACTACTACTATATCTGTCAGACTGCTGTGTGATAACATCCCGGTCACCTCAATCGTCAACAACAACGTCAATATCGCGCAACTGAACGGGGGTTAAACAACGAAATTTGGAATATAAAGCTTGGCAAGAGTTTGGGTAGATGATCACTTCTATAATGCGTATTCAAACACAATCAAAGTCAAGTCAAAAATGTACTGAAAGAATACGTACCAATTTCCGTAACTCGTCCTTCTTCTGTCATAATACGTGGCCTCGGCACAGCGCAGTAATAAGACTCCCGCTAGCATCAGTAGTAGGACCCCGAGGCCGGCGTCCCACCTCATGGCTGCAGGCTCCTACCTCTCCACAGTGCTAAGACAGGACGGTTCCTCCATGCCGCGTGCTCTCCCAGACCCTCTTCCAGAGTGTATGTGAGGGAACAGAGAACACAGGGTGCGTGCTTGAATTACTACCACCTCTGTTAATGTGTTCATGCATGCGTGAGAGACGCTGAGGGTGTCCCCAGTGAGGCTACAGAAGGTAGGTGTCATGACTGAGGACTCTGTGATGTCCCCAGTGAGGCTACAGAAGGTAGGTGTCGTGACTGAGGACTCTGTGATGTCCCCAGTGAGGCTACAGAAGGTAGGTGTCGTGACTGAGGACTCTGTGATGTCCCCAGTGAGGCTACAGAAGGTAGGTGTCGTGACTGAGGACTCTGTGATGTCCGCAGTTAGGCTACAGAAGGTAGGTGTCGTAACTCGTGGCTCTTTGATCAACTCCGTGCAGAGCCTCGCTGCACGCTGAACATTGAAGGTACAGTCGACAGAGTAGCACATCGCCATTTTTATGCTCTTGTTCAATAACATGTTTGTGTTTGGAGTCATGTGTTTCACGTCGACCAGAGGTAGTAACCGTAAACAAAGATATTGCTTTCCGGTATTGGTTCGTTGTCAGTCACTGTAATACACGCATCTCATGAACCCAGAAACTTATTTAAAGAAACCACGATAGTCTGCTGGGGGAAAAAAAGAGATGCGCTGAAACATGATGTAAGAGGACGCGAATTACGGGATTTGGCTTTTCGATAACCGTGGTACAATGTCAGGAAGCACATTGTAACAAATTATTTTACATTTATTTATATTTGAACAGAGATTCAGGAAATTAAAAAAAGACATTAAGAGATTTAATTCAGATTTAAATAAAGCATGTACACTTAATGGATTAAATACACACTATCAAAGCATTAAATCACTTAATTAAAACATGTCCACTTAAGACGTAATTAGCCTGGGATGTCAATTAGGAGCTAACAATGCACCTTGACACCCAGGTGCAAGGACTAGGTAAGGTTTTAATTAAAATTCCGTTATCCAGGTATACTGATGAACATGCCGCCTACAGGGACATCACATGTACAGGTGAAAGTCACGTGGTATAGTTAAAGTGCCGCCAGCATAGCATCATATCTAACGCTGGTGTAACAAAACCGAGGGTCCGTTGAACAGAAAGTCTGCCCTCCATATAGTTATTATGGTTAGGATTAGTCTGACCTAAGTAGGTCAAAATCTAGGGCAAGGATCACCTGTACAAATGAATGGGTAGCGGCCTCTTTGTCATAGGTACTCTCTGTCACGTTACACCGGCGCATGTTTCTATTTAACATCTATTGCTATTCTTATAAAATTGTATTATTAAAGCGTGTTTATGCTGATCTTCTTGAAAGAATTTAGATTGGATAAGGTGTACTGTATGTGGAGTGAACTATTTATAGAGTTGGTTTGCCTTTTTTTCATGATACTATGTGAGACGATTTCACACTGCCCTTGAGACTAAAAATGAATTTAGACAAAAAAGTGACCCCCCTTAGTAAAGAACTATTGTACCAACGTTTAGTTGATAGTTTTAGAGCGCAATTTATTCTATTTAAACATGCCAACACCACAGAAATATAAGGAATACATTAATAAATTCATACTGACGTCGCAAAAATTGGCCTCAGAAATAGGGAAGTACTCAGACACTAATATACAATTAAAAACATGTAGCTATGTAATTATAAAGACACTGAAGACAAATTTTACGTAAATGGATGACAAACCTTCGTATGGGATACATATATATTATACAATAAATACTTGTCAACAACTTATAGAAATAAAATATATTCTATTTGACCACAAAAACGACAGTTACAGCAAATTATTTTGAAATCTGTGCCTGCCATCGGACCACGTGACGTCCACACTTATCAAATTGTTATCATTGAACAATGTCTCGCAATAAAATAATTTAGGAAAATTCTTTAAGTGTACAGTTAAACTAAATGAATGTCATTTTGACTTATTATTATTATTGTTTTTGTTAAGTTTTTTTAAACAATTTTGTTTCACATTGTATATCATTCTGATGAGCCATTAAAAATTGAAAAAATAAATCAATTTTTGTTAAATAAATTACTCGTGTGCCAAGTCGTCAGAACATTTCAAGACTTGTTTATCATTGTAACTTTTTTCAAATATATTCTTTCATGAATGGCGATCCAGTTTAAGTCTTTTAATACATATAGTTTCAAAGAGGGACGGTTTGTGCCTCCGTTTCTCATCTATCTTAAATTTATCTTTATTTCTTGTTTCTACTAGGGAAGTTTTATAATGGATGAGGGTGACATATTTCATCTATTCCCCATCTTATCCATTACATCCCACCTAAGGGAAAATTACACAGAAATGGGTGGCGTCAATACGTCCCTCGTACACAGCGCTGTGCTTATAGTGACATCTATACGCAGAGTTATAAACTAATTTCCCAAACACAATGCTTCTCTGAAAATATCAACAAACACAATGTTATTTCGTTACAAAATGTAAACTTATAAATCGAACATAAAGACCCGTTGCGTGTGTGTGCATAAAGTACATTAATAAATAATAAATACAACAAACAATCAAAGAAACAAAAACTGCTCGAAGTTTTCCGGGAGTTACAGTATGTTTCATTTATATTGATTTCATCTGCAACTAGTTTTAGTTTTTTTAAAATTAAAATGATGAATATTTCAAACCACCAGAAAGTTTTTTTTTTTTTTTTTTTTTTGAAGTGCGTCTAAGAAATTAATACTCATAGTAGATAAGCTACAGGTTTTCTGCAAAAATTCTAAGCCACTGTCAGCCACAGCCTGGTTATCAATTATAATGAATTCAAAACGGACGTGGATGCCGGCCAAAAATAATAAGGCTGGGCTCCATACCTAGATCGATCTAACAGCATCGATCCATCTCCAAGGGGTTTCTCGATCCTTGATTTTCATGATTGCCACAACGCTGTCAGATGTATCTACCCGACCTTTTTCTTTTTTTTTTCTCCCACTGTCTTTCTCACTGTAGGCTATTTATTTAGTGAACAAGCGTTTGGTCTCATTCACAAGAGGTGACTAACAGATCCGCGGGTCAGATATGGTCGACCCACTTGAATGCTTGTTGCGTAATCCTTGCAAGAAATCTACTGTCTCTAATTCTGAATTAAGCGGCAAGCTCTTTCCTTTAGTGGGTCGCCATATTTGATCTGCGGATCAGTTAGTCCTCTGTTCTGAATACGCTACTTTACTCTCAGGGTGGGCTCCCGCAGCTTTGAAATAAATAATAACACAGTTACTAGTAGACACCACTAATAGTGACGTGGAGACCGTGATTGGACAGACGCCGAGCAGGATGCGCTCTCTTGCCGTTTTGGTTCTTGTGACTTGTATTACATGTATGTTCCTGACGACAGCTAAAGCTGGTGAAGTGGACTGTTTGGAGTGCAAAAATGGGAAACTAAGTAAGTTTTTTATGCTCTTGATTTTGTTGCCTAACGTTAACCATCTGTAAATGAAAATGAACTTTTTCATACGCAAATAGCTATTCGACAATTGCCTGGCTTATGTAAGCAAAAATGAAACGATTTAAAATCAAATCATTGTCGGTTTCAAGTCACTTCTGTTTTGTATTCTGGTATGGATATTTAGCACAGTTATCTCGTGTAATGATCACTCCTCTATACCTTTTACAGGAATGTTTACAAATTACAATTGTTTACAGAGGAAATACGAAGACCTCAGTGCGTTAACATCATAAATCCATGTGACGAGACGATCTTCCCTTGTACAATGGGATACGACTGCATGTAAGAGTAGCCATTGGGACCATTCATTTTGAGAAGTGCCGAGTGCCAGCTAAGCTAGCGCCGTCCCTCGACTGGTTGAATTGAGCCGACGTCTAATTACTGTGTCCCTGCAAGGACGACCCGTGAGGAGGCGTGTGAGAGACGGAGAGACCATTACAGGATTAAGCTGTCCTCCTTTCATGTGGGTCCGTCATATTTAGGTCGTGGCCTAGCTAGCCCTCGGTTTTTCTCATTCTGAATGGTCCTCTTTATTATTTATTATTTGTTACAGACTTAGCCGTTCATTACCGAATAACCCGTTTATCACTGAGTACTACTGATTGAGCAATTTCTCTGACTTAGCCATTTATCATTGACTTAGTCAGTCCTTACTAACTTAGCCATATCTATTTCCAGTATTGGCTGCGACTGCACTGTGATCTGCACCAAAGACAATAAATGCTAACTCAGCAAAAGGCAAATGAATTGGACGTCGATGGTATATCGCTCTCCTACAGATACACAATTTTAATCTTTATAGTCAAGCCTTAAATTAATAAAGTGGCTAAGTGCTATTGCCCCCGTCAGAAGTACTGGTTCAGCTGAAACCCGCATTAAATTAATTTTCATCATACAGGTAGACGTATTTCTCCCAGACAATAACTGACAATGCATAACATATTAAGCATAAAACAACACAAACAACATATAAACTGCCTACAGACAGAGTTTGCGCAGGAGTTTTATTTCAAACCATCGTCATCGTCTTCATCGCAAGGACAACGAAAGGAAAGAGCAGATCTAGTGGAAGACCTTATTATAAAATCAGTATAAATAAAAACCCTTTTATCATAAACCTCTTGGAAACCCGGAACTGCGGGCTTTTACTAAACTATATAACATTTACACGGTACAGTAAGGTCCGTTAAGTGCTTCAATCCAACCTTCTCCTTTTTTTCAGAATTGAGATTTTTATGTACTAAGTAAAACTTAATCAATTAAAATATCAATCAGAAAAATCAATCATAAAGTTCAAATCAAGGTGGACAGACACGAGGGGACTCCTTATAATTTATCTCTGAAAGAGACTCGAAACAACAACAGTAAAATTTGGTCTTAGAATATTATCTAGAGCTAATTACACATTTTAAGTTCCAAATGAATGAATTTTACCGTTCATGACTGGAGAGAAAGAGCAAAAGACCCACTGATTGAAATAATTATTTGAAGAGTTAAAAGTATCATTAAAAAATCATTGTCTAATACTGTAGTTCACAGTTTAACTTGTATGAGGATATAATATTGAGGGAAAAAAACTGAGCTAATCATACCGTGAGAAT